GATCAATTTGATTTAATTTTTCATTGTCGGCTAGCTGAATTCAGCTTTATTGCATATACCTTATAATCGCCCTCATTGGGCTAGCTGAAGGGTTCATCTCATCACAAGATCTTTGACTTGACAATTACAGTGGAGCAAACACTGAACTGCCGAGTATCTGAATAATGTCATGGTTCAAATGCAATCTATTCATAAAGCCAGGGCTTTTGAGTTGCATCTATAACCAATTGCTTTAGCGGAATAACTCAGCTTTATTGTATAATCTATAGTAATAATTTATTAGCTTTTTGAGCATTCAGATTAAAATTCTTAAGCTTGTCAAGAAGAACCATGTTATAGTCTATGTGTCATTGATTCTCAGGAAATCTCATATTTAGAGTTCAGTTCCCAAACAACTGACCTAAACTAAATTCATCTATTCCACTATTCCATTTGTGAAGATTAGTATCATCACTGAGCGTCTTCAACAGAAGTGTAGTCTAGGCAATTTTGCAATATCATACACAAGAGATGCCTCATGTTGTCCGCTCCTATTCATACCTGAATGCCTTGCCTTTTGATCATTTCCTTATGAGAGAAGGCTAAAGTGGTCCTTGTAAGAGAAGGGTATGGGGTTCGAATGTATCATTTGTGGTAAGGTTGAGGGTCCTTGTTTTATCAGTTTTCAATTTTGTCATTTTTTCAAAGATCTATAACTGATTCTTAAAAGAGCTTTTAATCTAGTGGATATTTAAAGAATTTCGAGTCTGAAAATTATTCATTGCTCATAACCTCAGAAGGTAGAATTTTACTTAAAATGTTCGATTATCAATATACAAATAAAAATATAAAGAAAAGAAATTCAAACAAGACAATATGTGAGTGCTTCAAAAGTTTTTAGCGGTTACAATGATTTTTCTCGGTTTGCATCAAAATGCCCCATTATTCATCGAATGTCCATGCCCCTTAATTGATTAAATTATGAACCTTGTGTTTCAATGCCCAACAATTCTCAGTAAGGTGCCTTGATGGTGCTAACATCATGTCCATAACTTTCAATTCTTTCTTGGTACGAGTAGGGCAACTTCATCTCACCTTAAAACTTTTATCACAAGATTCTCCGCGAGTTACCTTCGGGATCTATGATTGAGACGCAGTGTATACCATGTAATGTACAATATGTATATACTAATGCAAAGATGCACATACAAATGCAAAATGGGTGTGCAAAAAGTGAGATGCAAATGCAGCTTGGGATTGATCCCAAAAATAAATGTTCCTAGAACAATTCTTGAAAAACCGACAATGTCTCGGTACACTAGGGAAGTAAAAATCTGGTCCATCTGTATGCCGCCTAACTCCTGTGAGCATCTGGAAACTGCATCATCTTCAAAGCTTCTACTTCATCTTATACTTCTAGAGATCTTTCGAGCTGGTTTATGATCTTCAAATGTTGACTTCAGCGTCGAATCGTCTCGAGTCTAATGTTTTACCTCAGCAGGTATATATTCAACTTCTCAGTAGGTATACTTTACCTTGACGCTACTCGATCTACTAATTCCAAAAATATTTCAAGCTGGTTCGTGATCTTCAATTGTTGGTTTCAGCGTCGAATCATCTAGAGTCCAACTTTTTACCTCAGCAGACAGGTGTCTAGCTCGTCTTCTTGGTAGGTAGACTCCTTCTAGCTACTCGATCTACGTGGAGCATCTTCAAAATCCTACCGATCCCAGAGAAAGGCATTGATGTGGCATTGTTTTTCAAGAACCTTCTAAATGATCAATTATTTAAGGATCAATACCTTTGAATGATATGCCATGTTCATGCAAAAATGCAATAAGAGCAGACAAAAGGAAACCAATGTTAGTAGAAATAAAACAAAATTAATCAAGTTAGTTGAAATGATTAGTCCAAAAATGTAATCTTAGTAAAAATAAATAAATATGACTCAAAGTTGAGACTGAAAAAAAGGCATACAAAGAAAATTAATAATCCTAACTATATGTGTTCTAGTTCTCCTAGGTTATCCATATGGCACTAGCGTGTTAAGCTTACTAAATTCTTTATATGAGACTAGGTTCTAGCAAAGGGTTCCCAAGCCATTTTTACAACATGCTAAGGTTGCTCCCGATTCTGGCCCATTACAAACTTGCGAATCGGGTTCAGCTCAGGGGATCACACCGCTAAAAGAGTAACTCAGATCTGATATCTGGATAGGCAACTCAGGGTGCTTTCTAGAGATACTTTGTCAGACCCACACAAGGAAGTCCAATGCTCCTCGTGAGGTGTGACGTTTCTTTCTACTTAAGTAAACCGGGTTTGAGCTTGAGTTTAGAGCTATCATATGAAATAATCCTAAATATTCATAAAATTGTAAGCATTAATCAGAGAGAAAATCTTTTTTTTTTCTTTTTGAAATAACATAATGAACCATAAATTAAACAAGGCTGAACTCGTAATTTCCAAATAATAAATATAGGGTAACCAACTTGTGGCTCGACTCTCAATTTTTTAAAAACAGAAGTCCTCAGCGGAGTCGCCAAGCTGTCAACATCGTTTTTCGCTCGGGCAGGGGAAAAAGATACCGACTCGGGGTTTTTCTTTTGAAAATCTTTTCGAAATATGAGGAGTCACCACCAATCATTTAAGGTGAGATTGGAACACCATAAAAATCGGGTGATTTTAATAAAACATTTTATTTTTATTAAAATACTGAGTTTTGGGGTCTACAAAAATCCAGAAATCAGATTCAGGAGTCGGTTACGCGTGGGGAAGGATTAACACCCTCACAATCGCCTAAAAATTGGTACCTAGTTAATTACCCTATATTTAAAATCGGAAATTTTGAGTTCAATCTTTATTTAAATTGAAAATCATTATGGATGCAGAGTTTGAAAAAGATATTCGTTTATTATGGCAGATAGCGTTCACTTCCGAGCGTAAATGCGGAAGATCAACTATTGTGCCAAATAACCGAATATTGCCTCGTTTTTAGAAAACATGATATGGTTTTGAAAAGGATGTCGACTTATTTTGGGAATTACCAGTAGCCACCCCCTGAGCACAATCGCGGAGGATATATTATTACTCATTAATAAGTGAATAATGCCTTAAGTTTTAAAAACAATGCAATCAAGTAGAATTTCATTTAACCCTAATTAAGAAATAAAATTACAAAATAAATTAAATAAATACTAAAACTGAATAAAATAAAATTAAAATAATAAAGGAAATTAAAATATTCAAATATCTAAATATAATAAACTTTAAATGTAAGGACTAAATTGCAAGAAATCAAAAGAAAGTAACTAAATATAAAATAAACAGGGACTAAAATACAAGAAATTAAAACTCAGAAGCTAAATTAAGACTAATAAGGACTGAATTAAAATAAATTAAAAATGTCAGGGTTGAACTAAAATAAATTAAAACTTAAAGTTTAATTCAAAATAAAATAGAAACAAATAACTAATGACTAGAATGCGAAACACACGAGAAATATCAGGGATTAAACAGAGAATCACCCAATAAAAAATAACACAAGTAAAAAAAAGGGTAAAAAACCAAAATAGCCCCCATGACCATAATGTAAAACACGTAATAAACTGAGGGGACCTAAAGCGAAATAACCCTCGAAAGCCCACTATAAAACACACTCTCTCAATTTTTTTTGTTTCATTTTATCCCCAGTCCTAAAAAACCTAAAAGCTCTCAACTTTCCCTCTCCCCTCGGGCGAGAACATCGTCGAAGCCCCAGCATCGCCGCTTCATCCGGCGCTCCGACCACCACAGGCGGTGGTCGAAGCCCCTAAACCATTTAAAAATATCCTTTTTCCATGATCTATTCTCTCAAACCTAACCTTACACCGAAAACCCAAAGAAAAAACCTTAGATCACTTCGAAAATGGCTTGACCTTTCGTATGCCTCGTATTCCGGCGACCCTCGACGGCGGAGCAACCACTCTCACCCTAAAAACCGTAAAACCTACCTCCTAAAAACCTAGATATACACCTAAAGACAACATGCAAAACTCTTTTGAACCCCTAGAACACCTAATCTCTTCGACTCCCTCACCATCGACCACATCAGCGACCCCTACCCCAGTGAGACTCCCTTCCCCGGGTAATCATTAGATTTTCTTCCTTATTTTTTACTGTAAAATGCTCATTATTTATGATTTCTATTTGTTATTTCAAAATGAAACAAAGAGAAAAAAAAGAAAAAAAAACAAACAACCTTTAAAATGCTTTTGTATTTCTGCTGGAAAAAATCGAGATCCAAAAGGCCTTACAATTGTTTCACTCTTTTTGATGTTCGAATCCCCCCTCTTATTCATAAATTTTGTTTGGTTTTATAGTCAAATTTTTACATAACTTTAACATAAAATATTACAAAGTGGGGTGATTATGCTTTTGTTATTACAGAAAACAAAGGATGATGGGGGTATTTTGTGTTGAAATATGGGATGATGAGCGTTTGTGTTGAAATATAGGAGGGTGGCGTTTGATGGAGGCATAGTGATAGGTTCCTTTTTTATTTTGAGGAGAGTCGTCCCCAAAAAACTTCTTTAAAACATGATATGGATTAATCAATTAATAGATCATATACTCGTAATTAATTAAAAAGTTAAATTAAATTTTTTATATTTAAATACTAAATAAATTTATTTTTTAAAATATATTATTTTATATAAATATTTTTTTAAACTCTTGAAAATGTGATTGATTACGTGTATTTTTTATTTATTTATTAATCAGAGTATCACGTATGTTAAAAGTTTATTTATCAACGTGTTTTAAAACATATGATTGTCAACAAAACACATTTTTTATTTTTTATAATAAATATATATTAGTTTAATAATGTATATTTAAATAATTAGATCACATTCAAATTTACATTTTTCAATTATACAATATTAACAATTTCAAGAAATAAAATAAAATTAATTATATTATACAATGTCTGCATTTTTGTTAGATTATACATTAGAGCATAGGATTCCGTTTCCCATATATTTTTCTTTGTCCTTGTGAACCTTCTCGCTTCTTCACTTCAGCTTCACATCCACACTTTCACTTTTTTATACAAAAAAAACAACCAAACATGGCCGAGGAAACTCCAGCTCAGAACACACCTGTGGCGGCGGCGCTGCCCCCAACCCCGCAGGAGGTGACCGAGACGGATTCACCTGATGTTTTAGTAAAAGAAGACCCTTCCCTACCATCCCATGTAGCAGCTGTGTCTGTTTCTGTCACCGAATCTGTTTCAACGACTATAGCTGAAAAAGAAGAGCAGACACCGCCGCCACAGGAACCGATATCATTGGAACCTGATTCAACGGATAAAGGGTCAGGAAAAGAGGAGCTAACTCAAACGCCAACAACGCAAGCAGTGGAGTCAGAATCTGAGCCAGTTGCTGTGAGAGAGACACCAAAGGAAGAAGCGCCACCAGCTCCACCAGCTCCACCAGAGGTAACTGTAGTGATATCGGAATCCAAGTTGCAGCAACCACCTACTCCACCGCAGCAGGAGGTGGTTACGGAGTCGGGATCGTTGGCAGCGATGATGGAGAAATATGAGGAGGGAGCTCCACCAGAACCTACTGCAGCGAGCAGGACTACTACAACTACTGCTCCAGAAGAGGTGGCTACCGTTGCTGAAGAGAAAAAGGCTCCTCAAAATCTGGGTTCTTTCAAAGAGGAAAGCAATAAGGAAGCTGATCTATCTGATTTCGAAAGGAAAGCTTTGGAAGAACTGAAGCAGCTTGTTAAAGAAGCAATAGACTCTAACCTTTTCCATTCAGAATCCAAAAGTGAAGAAAACCCAGAAAGGGAAAAGAAACAAGAACCAAAAGAGGTATCTATTTGGGGTATTCCTCTTTTAAAAGATGATAGGAGCGATGTCATCCTTATGAAGTTCTTAAGAGCAAGGGATTTCAAAGCTAAAGATGCGTTTCTAATGATAAAAAACACCATCCAGTGGAGGAAAGGGTTCGGAATCGATGATCTTTTGGATGAAGATCTTGGTGATGATATGGACAAAGTTGTGTTCATGCATAGAAAAGATAAGGAAGGTCACCCTGTTTGTTACAATGTTTACGGGGAGTTTCAGAATAAAGAACTATACCAGAAAGCGTTTTCCGATGAGGAAAAGCGAATGAAGTTCCTGCGATGGCGAATTCAGCTATTGGAAAAGAGTATAAGAAAGCTTGATTTTAGTCCTGGTGGTGTTAACACCATTTTCCAGGTTAGTGACCTCAAAAATTCACCTGGACCTGGGAAAAAGGAGCTTAGATTGGCAACAAAACAGGCTCTTCAGGTTCTCCAAGATAATTATCCAGAGTTTGTTGCAAAACAGGTTTGTTCTGTATCTATCTGTATATCCCTAATGTTAAATTTTTGTCGTCCATTAAATTCTTTGGGAGAAGCATTGATTTGGGTTTCATATTCTGTTTAGGTATTTATTAATGTTCCTTGGTGGTATCTTGCATTCTATACAATGATTAGTCCATTTATGACTCAAAGAACCAAGAGCAAGTTCGTCGTTGCGCTGCCTGCAAAATCTACTGAAACCCTTTTTAAGTGAGTGATTCGAGTTATCTAAGTGCTTATTCCAAGTACAATGTTAAATTTTTGTCGTCCATTAAATTCTTGGGAGAAGCATTGATTTGGGTTTCATATTCTGTTAGGTATTTATTAATGTTCCTTGGTGGTATCTTGCATTCTATACAATGATTAGTCCATTTATGACTCAAAGAACCAAGAGCAAGTTCGTCGTTGCGCTGCCTGCAAAATCTACTGAAACACTTTTTAAGTGAGTAATTCGAGTTATCTAAGTGCTTATTCCAAGTACCTATAGTTCTTGTTAGTGGTTAATATCCTGGATTAAATTATGTGTAAAACAGATACATACCACCTGAGCAAGTGCCCGTTCAATATGGTGGTTTGAGTGTGGATTCTTGCGATTGCAATCCCGAGTTCAGCGATGCCGATCCGGCCACTGAAATGACGGTGAAACCGGGGACAAAGCAAACTGTTGAAATAACAATATTCGAGGTTCGAACTTTATTGTTTCTTCATGCTACTTATCTATGTTTTGTGTCAATGATGAATGTAAGGTCCAGTCCCACTTATATCAATGTGAAAAACTTTGCACTGCAGAAATGTGTTATTGTCTGGGAAATCAGGGTAGTCGGTTGGGAGGTTAGCTATGGAGCCGAATTCGTGCCTAACGCTAAAGATAGCTATGCGGTCATTATTCAAAAACTGACGAAGATGACTCCAAAAGATGAACCAGTTGTGTCTCAAAGCTTCAAGGTTAGTGAACTGGGCAAAGTATTGCTTACTGTTGACAACCCGACTTCGAAAAAGAAGAAGCTTCTCTACAGGTTTAATGTTAAACCCTTCTGCGGCTGAGGGGTACGCGTTCGTACTAGGGTTTAATTTATTCTTGTCTAAATTTTGTGCAATTCACTTGTTCATTTTACACTGTTTTGCACCTGTTTGAGGAGTGGCTGACAGCAAATTGCTCATGGTTTTGAAATTTGGTCTTTGTCATGTTGAGTTACCCTGTTGTTGTGCACTGTATATTTTTCCTGTGTAATCATGTCTATATTTGGAACCTTTTACACACTTTGTAGATTTGTAAGAACGCAAGGGATTGTTTGGTTTATGTTATCTTTCAGGTTTCATAATTTCTATTTGATATTTAATTTTTGGACTTTTAAGTTGAGAATATTTATATGTTACCTTAGTCTCCTTGGTTCCCACCTCTTCAGGCAGTGGCGGACACCATGAAATCCGAATTTTGCCGCTGAATGATGAGATCTTTATCACCTCAACAAAGAGCTTACGGCTTAGTAGAGTTTATAATTTGTACTTGATTCATACATCTTATAAAACTTTCCACTTTACAAACCAAATTTGAAGGTTAGAAATTAAGCATCTTTAATTAATTTTTTTCATAAGCATAACAGGAAAGAGAAAGAAGGTAGGTTTTGTAGAGTGAGGGACCTGGCTGGTTTTGTGTTACAATATTTTTCTTTGCACTAATTATAATTATTAGTCCGTTTTTAATGTGAAAATTAATAATTAAATCCAATTTAATTCTTCCATCATTTTATTGGCTAGCTCGCATAGGATTCACTGCTGGAATTTGTCACAATGTATTGGATCCAGTCTGCAACTATAGAATTTCTTCAATAATATCGAAACTTTCCCAACGGTAAAACCCAATTTTATAGCTTCATTCCCATCATGATGAGAGTTTTATCATAATGAATTCTTTTAGGTTAATTAATTACTTTTGGCCTTTCTTGTTACACACTCACTATTGATTGATTTCATCTTTTCAATAGATCATTAAAATCACATTAGCGATGAAACCATCGAAAATAAACGATGATTAAAGAGAATATAATTTTTCTTAGTTCTTGTTGTCCTAAGTGAAGGAGAAAATGACCAGAGGAGGTCATGGCCTCCCAATTTTTTTAAAATAATAATAATATATATTTATATACATACAATATATATTTGATATAATCACTAATATATAATTTATTAATTGATTAATTTGAATCAAGTACTTTAGAGGTGAGAGTGATCCTTCTAACCCAATTGGCTCCATTCACAAATGTAAGAATTTGAATCCTTGACCTTGCTAAGGGGTCTAATATCTAATCTCATTAGACCAACTTATTTTTGGTATATATTTATATATATTAAATTCTTAAGTTGGTCCTTAAAAAGTGTGTAGACACCGGTTTTTTCGAGTTTTTTATTATTATTATTATTATTATTATTATTATTATTATTTATTATTATGTGTTACATTTTGCAGGCCAAATGGGCCTAATTACAATCACCCAACAACCCACAAAACAAGCCCAACAAAGGCCAACCAGACCCAACTCAGCTGGAGTCGCATACCCGACCCAAACTCGACCCAGTCCAAGCCTAAAAATCAACCCAGCCAATTAAGGTTTCAAAACCTAGCAAATTCAGCCAGCCGCCGCCGACGCTTCAGCTCCTTCAGGCTCGTGAGTTCCAGTCGCTGCTCAAGCCGAGCCTCTCCTCGCCGATAACCTCTGACGTTGATGTTGTCACCTACAATGACTGAAGGTCTCTCCATATTCCATCAGCAGTGAAAAACAGAAAAACTCAATAAAAATAAAAAGAAAGTACAGAGGATATCCCGAGGAAATCCTAATCTATCAATAACCATCCATGCAAATAAAAAAGGAGAGAAGATATCAAAACCATTCGGTGGGGGAGAAAAATATAGAGGGAGAGAAAATAGAGATAAGCTTTTGAAAAGGAAAAAAAGGAGGAAAACCCTTTGAGAAAAAAAACAAACCGAGAAGTAAGAACGTAGAAAACTCACCTTGCACCCGGATCTTGTAGCCGTGGCCTCACCGGAGTTCGAGGAAGCCACATCATCGAAGGTAAAGAGCCTTATATTTTCCTATATCTAGGGCTCTAAGAGAGGTTTTAGGTCGGAGGGGTTAGGATATAGGTTGGGGGTGACGATAGGAGCAATCGGGGAGTGTTTTGCTCACTCCGGCTACTGTGGGCCGCCGTGCTCCGCCGTGACGCACCACCGGCGAACGACAACTTCTCTCTCCCCGATGAGGGAGTCGAGAGAATCCCTCATTTCTCTAGTTTTTGTGAAAAGAAACAAATGAGAAAAGTGAGATGAGAAAGCTTTAGGCTTAGGGTTATATATCCCCCACGAAACGACGTATTTTCGAGGGGGACCAGTTTGTATTTTGGCGTGTGAGTTAACTACACTTTAGGTCCATCATGCTTTGTAATATCATATTGAAGCAATGTAATGAAGTTTTACTTTCTTTGATTCCGAACACTTATACTTCATTATTTATATTTTGGTCATGTTATTATATGTTGTATTATTTTTGTTAATATTCAAATTTAGACATGACATTTTTAAATATTTCATTTTAGTCACTATTGGCATTTGGTTTAATTTTGGTTTGGCCTTTTATGTTTCTATTTATTTCATTTTTAGTCCTAAATATTATTTGTGGGTTATTTATATTTTTGGTGCTTGTATTATTTAATATTTGCGATTTGTGCTCTGATTTATTTGTAATTACTCTTTTAGCCTTTTAGTTTTTGTTTTAACTATTTAGCCCTTTAAGATTCTATTTTTGCTATTTTAGTCCTTTAAAATCCTATTTATACTATTTTGGTCCTTTAAGTTGTGGTTTTTCCATTTTGGTCCTTGTAATTATAAATATTTACTTTTTGATCATTATATTTTGGGTTGTAATATTCATTTGCATTTATGTCAATCCCTTATGTATGAATATATTTTTATGTTATGTATTCATTTGTATCATATGTAAGGCACAAAAAATGCTTAACTCTATTGATTATAAATTATCATTGTTTTATAAAATGTGTAAAATGGGAAAATTTTATTGTGAGGGAAATCTACGAAGTCATCTCCCAACTACAAGGGAATGTGTCTTTACGTGGATTTTTTGCATAAATGTTTGTGTAGTATTCGATAATTCTCTTTGTTCACGTTTATTTATTTTAATTATTTTTCAACTCTTTTCACTTTTATTTTGTTTTAGTTTGTTTAATTTTATCTTTGCGAAAAATTGCGAAATAATGCCTTTTGTGAGGGGAATCTATGGGAAAGTCTCCTAACTGTAAAGAAAGTGCTTTCTCGAAGATTGTTCAGATAAAGAGCATTGATTATCCGAAAATATACACTTTTTGAATAAAATCAAATGAATAAAATGATCGTAATTTAAATATATTTTCGAGTTTGTAATTCTCAATCTTTAAACAATATATAATCGTTTAGGTACCAAAATTTGGGCGTTGTGGGGTACTAACCCTTCCCCACACGTAACCGACTCCCGAACTCTTAAAAACAAATCTTTGATAAAACGCATGCCATTTTTCTTCTTTTAAGGTTTTCAACCTCCCTAACTTAAAGGTTGGTGGCGACTCCAAGGTCAAATTGTTTTCGAACCAAAATTTCATCGCTTTACCGGAAACCATTTTTTAAGTCTAACGGATCCCCAGGGAGACGTTACGACAAAGTGTATATAATAAGTTATTAAATTTATTTATCCAAAAAATGTGTATACTTTAAAATTTAGTTATCATTTATTAAAAAAAAGTTCATATTTTTTGTATTATTATTATTATTATGTTTGTTGAAAACATTTTTGTATTTCGATATAACAAATTAGTTTAAATGAATTTTAAGATTTTACAAATGATTTTCTAAATATATTCGATTCAATTAATCAATATCAAATTATTACTCCAAGTCTTTTAAGATCAATTTCAAACCTTACTAAATGTGTAAAATTTTGTTTTATACTTAATATATTTTTGAAACAATTTTCACAAAGTATTTTGAACCAAAATCAAGCCTAAAATCAATTTTTCAGAGTGATGCACCGATGCACCAATCCATGCATCGATGCACCATGAATTAAATTGAACATCGAATGCATTTCATGCATTGATGCACATACCATGCACCGATGCACTGAGGATTTTATGAAAACATCGAATGCATTTGATGCATCGATGCACTAGTCATGCATCGATGCACTCTGGCTATTTTGAAACATCGAATGCACTTGATGCATCGATGCACTCTTAGTGCATCGATGCACTAAGGGTCCAACGGTCAAAATATTTGAATTTTATACTGATGCACCGATGCACCATGGGTATGCATCGATGCACTGACGCTCCCAACTAATTTTATTAATTGTTTTCAAACTTAAACGGCTCTATTGACTCCACTAATCATCCCCAACGTTCAGAAGTGATTCAAGGTGTATTTAAACAAGCTTAGAAGCCATTGATCAAGAACAAGAAACATCAAGCAACTAGAATCAAGAGAGAATCAAAGAGAAAGCATCAAACCTCAAGTTTGAGCATTTCAAGCCTATTTTTCATTCAATATTCATTTTGCTTTCAAGAACACTTATTGTGCTCAATTGTATTTATTCTTGAGTGTTCTTCCTTTGTTATAGAATTGTGCAAACATATTTGCCTTGTGAGGTTTTTCTTGTGAGTCTGCAAATTTGTTATCTTATCTTTGAGAAAAGAGTGTTCTCAAGAATTGGGATATATTCTTGAGGGAGTTGTAAGGTTATCTCTTTGGCCTCAAAAGAAATAACAAATTAGTGAATTTGTTGGAAAATCCTTAGTGTTGATAGCTAAGGTAGTGGACGTAGACTTTGGTTGATAAAGTCGAACCACTCTAAATCGCTGTGCAATTACTTTCAATTTTCTGCAAAAGCTTCCACAAAATTTTAATTGCCAATTCACCCCCTCTTGGCCGATTCCGTCAATCGATTAACTCAACAATATTTTTTAAATGAATGAAAATATATTCTCTTTTATTATTTTTCATTTCAAGGTAATTTTTTTTTGTTTGATTATTCATTTTCTTTGAGTTAAGGACTTCAATCAAGTTATTAAATATTCAATTTCTAATTTAATTTCAGTTGAAGATAGTAAAATATTTTAACTAATATATACATTTTTTTAAAATGTTCTCCCCAATAGTTAATGTTGAGTTCCTCCACTGGCCTAAGTTTGAGCATTTGAGTATGTAGGATGTATGTACGTTGTCAACATTAAATAGTTATAAACATAAACTACCTTGTAATCATCACATACTTTAAAAAAATATAATTTTTA